CCCCCCCAAAACGCCTCCAAACCCTCCCAGATGCCCCCCAGGTGCCCCCAAACCCCCTCAAAACGCCCCCAACCCCCTCCCCCAGATGCCCCCTCACCTCTTGGGCAGGTGGGCAAAGGGGTCCTTGGCCTTGGGCTCGGCTGCCAGGACCTGCTCACACTCATCCAGCTCCTCCTCGGCCTCCGGCCGCTTCTCCTCCTTCCTGGGGGGTTTCTCCTTCTTGGGGGGCTCCTTCTCCTTCTCCTTGCGGGGGGGTTTGTCCTCCTTCCGGGCCTGTGTCTCCGCAAACTTCTTGGCTGCCCCCCAAAAAACACCCCCAAAGTCGCTTTTTGCCCCCTCAGAAAACCCCCCTGAATCCCTTTTTTCCCCTCTCCCCCCAAAAAAAACTCCTCAGAGCCCCCGTTTTTCTATAAATGTTAAAATTCCCTTTTGCTGCCCCCCAAAACCCTTTGAATTGCGCTTTTTTCTCCAAAAAAACCCTTAAATTGTGTCCCTGTGTCCCCAAGGTGTGTCCCTGAGCCCCCCCAGGACCCCCCCAGCCCCTCACCATCAAACTGGACCTCCCCCAGTACAGCCTTGAAATGGGGCTGGTTGAGGAGTGACCCCCCCAAGGGTGTCCCTGTGTCCCCAAAGTGTCCCTGTGTCCCCAAAGTGTGTCCCTGTGTCCCCAAAGTGTGTCCCTGTGTCCCCCAAATGTCCCTGAGCCCCCCAGGACCCCCCCAGCCCCTCACCATCGAACTGGGCCATCCTCTGGCACAACTGGACCTCTCCCAGTACAGCCTTGAACTGGGGCTGGTTGAGGCAGGTGAGGAACCACCGGTTGACGTTCCCGAAGGGTCCCCGGAACGCCGGGTCCAGCACCTGGGAAAGGGGGGACACGACACCCCCTCAGCACTGGGAACCACCCCTAGGACCCCCAAACACCCCCTGAGACCCCCAAACACCTCCTGGGACCCCCAAACACCCCCTGGGACCCCCCAGGATCCTCCAACCTCCTGGAACGCCGGGTCCAGCACCTGGGAAAGGGGGGACACGACACCCCCT